GATCAATCATTATAAAACATATATTATTCTGAAATGGACCAATCTGCATAGTGAGTAGCCTATTTTACTTTTGTACTTTAAATGTATTTGTATACTAATACTTTTCTACTTTTACTTGAGTAACATTTTGAATGCAGGACTTTTACTTTTAACAGAGTATTCCTACACTCTGGTACTTCTACTCAAGTACAAGTTCTTAGTACTTCTCACCTCTGCATTCACTCAAGTACTGAATCATTCTGAGGAACTTTTACTGTACTTAAGTATTTCCATTTAATTTGACTTTGTTCTTCTATTTCACTGTTTTACGAAGGAAATATGTTACTTACTTGAATTACGTCCAATAAAAAACATGTATCTCTTTATTACATAATTATATATTTATTGAACAAGGACCGACTGCTATATGCCAGATAGATAAAAGCTAACTTCCATCTGCAGTCCCCAGGCAGGTACACACATTACGACCAACAAACATTCAATTATTTCCTAGTGCCTATCAGACTAACAATAAAAAACAATCAAAATACAAATGCATGAAATATAAACACTAGTACATGTTTCAATATACAAATTAACAATTTATTTCAATTTTCTTTTACATTTAATGATTTTGAATGAGACCCAGTGACAAAAACAACAAATCTATCTATCTATCTATCTATCTATCTATCTATCTATCTATCTATCTATCTATCTATCTATCTATCTATCTCTATATATCTCTATCTATCTATCTATCTATCTATCTATCTATCTATCTATCTATCTCTATATATCTCTATCTATCTATCTATCTATCTATCTATCTATCTATCTCTATATATCTTCTATCTATCTATCTATCTATCTATCTATCTATCTCTATATATCTCTATCTATCTATCTATCCATCCACCCATCTCTATCTATCTATCTCTATATATCTCTATCTATCTATCTATCCATCCACCCATCTCTATATATCCATCTATATATCTAATACATTGGTTTGAAGAAACAATCATATTTTGATATTATCATGTGGGTCTGAAACCTGATTTTTTGGACACCGATATTATGGACTACTAATTTGAGAAAAACGTCTTTATCGGACAAATCAGAACAAAATCATATTTAAAATGTGGTTTAAGGCACTAAAAATGTGTAGACATAAAGTGACACAATAAGAGAGCATAAGGTGAGTCAATTCCAAGCACATTGCGTTCAGACTTTCTTTGCTCTTTGTGTTCACATTTTGTTGGTCTATCCTGGGTATTTGGGGAAATTGATGACCACAAAAAATGACATTACAACTAAACGATAAGAGTGTGCATCAGGAAGACAGACAACACTTTGTGGCCGTGGACTTCTTTGCGGTGAAAAAGTGCATGTGTGTTTTTCAGACTCTCCCTCCTACAGTGAACACAGAGACACAGAGGGACTATATGGCAATAACCCAAGCCCAAAGCCGAATCCAGGATAAAGAGGTTCAGAGAATGTGGTTTGCAAAGTGTGGAGGTGGATCAGTGTGTCAGAGGAGACAATGTAGAAGGAAAGAGTTCCTGCAGGAAAGTCCACATACGCTGCCACTCTGTTAGAGACAGAGGAGGAGGAGGAGGAGGAGGAGGAGGAGGAGTAAGGGAGGTATATACTTCTCTTGTTATGCCAGACTGAGTAACCTTCAACATCCGAGCACAACAGACTCCAGGAATGGTCATTCCCTCCAAACCTGGAGCGACCTCTGTTTCCTTTTCTTTCGATTCCACTGTAAGTCACTGATATGAAGACCCTTCCTCTCCACTCAACCTCCCAGTAACAGCGACCAGTCAGACCATTGCTGCACATCAGCTGAGGCCAGTAGTCAAACCTCTCTGGATGATCTTGATATGGCTGCTCCTCAGTCACTGCTGTCACCTTCCTGTTGTTGTCAGACAGCTTGAGGTTTCTGTTCATTGTGTATGTGTCCATTGTAAGTTCACAGGCATCTGACGAAAAACACAATGTCACACCAGTTTATAATCGAACACACCTGATGGGTTTATTTGTTGCTTTAATAAAAGGCTGACTGTTCATTAAAACAGATCTTTAAAATGACTCATTGTTTTGAATCTTCTTCAAAACTGAGAATTGCTGCAGATAGATTGGCTTTTCTATTTTTCATAAATCAAAGTGAACACAAACTTACACTTCCTTAGACCAGGTTTTAGCATCTGCTCTCCACAATGTTCCACCCTGGAGGAAGAAACAACGTCAGAATAAACCTTGAGAAGCTTCCTCATCTTGGAGAATGATTGCTTTTGAGTTTGTATCCTCGTCATTGATTGCACACTTTATAATTCATTTGCACATATTGTAATTCAAATTGTAATGTTGTGGAATAGTCAGTATTTTCAGAGAGACAGTGCTTCAGTTCCCGATGTGTGTTTGCACCTGAGATTTTTCAGTTTCCAATGTGGATCCTCCCGTCCAGCAGACAGCACCTCTATTCCTGAGTCTCCTGGATGATTGTAGCTCAGATCCAGCGTCTTCAGATGTGAGGGGTTAGATCTCAGAGCTGAAACCACAGAAGTACAGCCTTCCTCTGTGATCAGACAGCCTGATAGCCTGGAGACACACACACACACACACACACACACACACACACACACACACACACACACACACACACACACACACACACACACACACCATAAATGTTTTACGTTTTTGGTTCATAATATTTTTTTTAATTACACACATACAGCATTTTTTCAGCAGGCCATACTATAGATGTCCTTTCAGAAAGTATTAAACAAGTAATAATTTTATTTGACAACATCCATGAAATCAACTTGTATGTCCAGTAACATTTAATGAAAGATGATTGATAACCTCATAGTCTCCAGCATACAGTGTGGACTCCCCAGTCCAGCAGAGAGCAGCTCCACTCCTGCATCCTGCAGGTCGTTGTTACTCAGATCCAGATCTTTCAGTCCAGAGGACTGGGAGCTGAGAATTGATGAAAGCTCCTGGCATTTCTTTTTAAGCCCAGTTTGACTCAACCTATAATGTAAAGAAGCAAAAATGTCATTTCAATTGAAAATCACACAATAAAACATTTGGTGTTTGAGGCACAATACAGCGTTTAACAAGTTTCAGTGAGATCTAACCTGAGGGTCTTCAGTGCACAGTTTGGACTCTCCAGTCCAGCAGAGAGCAGCTTCACTCCTGAGTCCTGAAGGTCATTGTTACTCAGATCAAGCTCCGTCAGAGAAGAGGAGTGTGAGCTGAGAACTGAAGACAGAGCTTCACAGCTTCTCTCTGAAAGATGACAACCACTCAGCCTGTGGGAGAGTTATTGATAGTATCAAGCACTGAAACTGTTTATGTTGTGTACAATGTAAGAAAACCGATTTTAGGATTTCCTTATTCTGTTGAAAAGTTACTTATTGCAAATGGAGGATATTGCCTCTAGTTCCAGCTCTCTCAGACTAAAAGACAAGGAGCTTAGAATGAATGTGAGGTGTGATATGTTTCATTACATTTACTTAATTTAAACCGTCATTTAGGTGTCTTTCCGCTACTTTATAAAACACAAACAAAAAACCCTTGTGAAATGAGAAAACATGTTGCTCCCTAAAAGCAGAACTGGATGATCTGACCTGAGAGTCTCCAGTGTACAGTGTGGACTCTCTAGTCCAGCAGAGAGCCGCCCAACTCCTGAATCCTGCAGGTCGTTGTTACTCAGGTCCAGCTCTCTCAGACGAGAGGACTGTGAGCCGAGAACTGATGAAAGCTCCTGACAGCTTTGCTTTGTTAACCTGGCTTGACTCAACCTGAAAGAGAATTAGGTTTTGCTTTCACACTACAGATTCTTTACACATCTTCACATTCACAAATAAATGGTAGTCAAAACACAGCAGAAACAAATGAAACATTTGTTAGAAAAACACTTTCTTTTCATCCTACTTTCTGCAACAGCACTACAAAAAAGCATCAGAGTAAGATCTGACCTGAGTATCTCGAGCGCACAGTTTGGACTCTCCAGTCCAGCACAGAGCAGCTTCACTCCTGAATCCTTCGGTTTGTTGTTACTCAGGTCCAGTTCCCTCAGACTAGAGGAATGTGAGCCGAGAACTGACGACAGTGCTTCACAGCTTCTCTCTGAAAGATTACAGCCACTTAGCCTGAAGAAAATGAAGTTATTTAGACAAACACACAAGATACTTTTTGTTTTTCTGCAAGGTTAGAAACACATGTACATGTACATTTCTGAGGTGTGTCAAATATTCATGAATTCCTGGAAACTGACTGTCAAACAGTATCCCATCGTTACCATAACGTACAGAAATACATAATGCCTTCAATTAATTTCACTGTCAGCTGCACCTTTTTATCCGTGGAGGTAAATTCCTACTGAAGAAACAAGTTGAAAGACTTTTAAATATATTGTATAACTAACCATTTGTTGACTTAATCCTTTTTTCAGTTTACTAATAGGTTACTTAAAGGTCCCATGTCATGCTTTTCTGGTTATTACCCGTCCCCTTGTGTGTTATGAAGGTTTGTCTACGTGTAAACGGTCTGCAGAGTCAAAAACCCTCAAAGTACACCCTGTAGCGAGTAAAACTCTAACACAGAAAATACCTGTCTATGCTGCCCCAGAACGCCTCGTTGGACATTTCTCTTTTCCCATTGTTTATTCCGGGAACATCATGACGTCATGCGGAACCAAAATGGACCAATCCGCGGAGCTCCTCACACACCAGGATCCCTTGGCTAACTAACAGGGAGTCCCATTGACTTGCNATCCAGTTACTGCTTGGAATGTACAGTTGCAAGAAAAAGTGAACCCTTTGGAATTACCTGGATTTCTGCATAAGTTGCTCATAAAAAGTGGCTTCCTCCATTTTATGAGCAACTTATGCAGAAATCCAGGTAATTCCAAAGGGTTCACTTTTTCTTGCAACTGTACATTCCAAGCAGTAACTGGATGCATACGCTTTATAATACACGACACAGGAACACATCTATAAAAATGGCTTTAATTGAATTACCCCTAATGCGATTCAAATTGCACAAAGTTATTTATCTTATTTTGGTTCTGTATTTGTGTTAATGATTCTGTTGTTCCCATGGCCTGGCACACACACACACTGCCTTACAATCTGTTACTATTTCACTAATCCTGGAGAATACCTGGTCACAGAGTGCTGAGCTTGGAAAAAAATAGCACCTATGACCCTCTGATGCCCCGCACAGACCCCTAATGCCGGGATGACTGACGCACACATCTCTGCTGCTGTAGGCAGAGAGGCTGTTCCTGAAGTAAAGCTCATCTAACTATTTATGAGTCAAAAGCCTCCCTGGATGCGAGAGGAAGTGATGCATAAACCGCCCGGTGGAATGCGTCACATTAAAATAAATGAATCCTTCCATGTCACGGGGAAATCTCATTAGAGTACATTAAGTAATTGCTGGAGTATATAGTCATTTGACTGTTAAGAGGATAAAATGTGCATTGCACAGAAGCACTTTAACAAATGTAATAAACTGGGGGAAACTTGCTCCTTGGGAGGAAAATCCTGTGGATAATTTGCTTTGCCCTTTTCAGAATTCTGCCATAAGTACAATAGCTTTAAAGCCTTAATGTAGAAAGAGCTCCCGCATCTCCATCCAATAAAGAATAAGCAGAAGCACAGCACAAAATTCACTCTAATGATGTACAGATTGAAATATTATGGAACATGTTTAAACGTTCCCATTCAAACCACCGCCCTGAATGTTCGTTATTGCAGTGCTCGCCTGCAAATTGAGATGCATGAAATGCAGACGTGTACTTGTAAATCTCAGTCAAAAGGCTTCAAATTAGCATGTCTCCAATAGACAAGAACACAAAGGGCTCTAATTAGTCTCTAAGGTCCTACCACAATATATAAATCAGCCACTAATTGCAGCTGTTTCCATAATTCGTCCTTTGAGGACTTTGTGGATAAGCTGCATTCAAAAGGCACAGACTGATGTATGTGAAGAGGGGACGACTGGAAAGTTAACTCCTACCCTGCAGAAAGTGAAACCAGACCATTACAACTGAACAGAAATATTAACAGAGAGTAGAGGCAACTAGTAGTTGTGGTGTTATATGCAATTAAACTGTTATTCTATAGTCTTGTGTACAAATGTGCAATATTAAACAAGTAAAGCTAATCATCTCTAAAACAGTCGCTCCATCTTACACATTTCTTAAATAACAAATCTGCACTGCTTATTTTGCCCCGAGGCTTCAGGATCTAAAGTAATAAGCCTGAGACGACATAGCTGATTTAATTTATCCAGTGATCTTTTAATAGTGCCATTGTGTATTATAGCATTTAGGAAGCTTCCTACATTTACAAATAAAGGAATGTATATTAGCAGTTGGCCATATACTGTATGTTAAAAAATACTACAATGTGTTTACAGGGAGGCATGTGGCGCAGTGAGCTAGTGCGTTGGTGTTCGGATACAGGTTCAAACCCCACTGCAGTCAGCATGTCGTTGTGTCCCTGGGCAAGACACTTCACCCCAAATTGCTCCTGTGGGGATTGCCCACAGTATTCAGTATGTAAGTATAACATGTAATAATAATATATATATATATATATAATACTAAATAAATACAAATATTCAGAAAGATTTAAATAAACTCAAAATGAAACCAATGTGGGTGACATTGCCACAAAATGGTATTATATGTGCTGATGTAGTCATACATTTAAAAACAACTAAAACAATACATCAGGCATGCATGAGAGCCTTTGGTAATCTGTAGTCTGACAAAAAAAGCATTTTATTGTGAAGCAGAAGCAGTGAGTGCAGAGGGGTTTGCAAAGCCTAAAGGAACTGACAGAGACAAGCTGTGTCGAGTCAAAAGCAGAGGTTTCACATTTCAGATGTACATGCCCTTGCAAAAATCCATGTTATAGTATGAAAGCCCACATGTGTTGTTCCCGCAAACAACGTGGGCAAGTGCATAAGCCCACCCTCTGCTGTTATGTGGTGGCAGACTGCCTGCAAGCCAGCTTAGGTTGGAATCATCTGGGTACCACAGAAAATACTTATTTTTAACATCTACTGCGTTTACAGGCTTCAAAGAGTCTGATCTGAGTGACAGGATGACAGTCTGCCAAAACAAAGCAACATTCAAATAGAATACTGCCAGGGCTGTTTTTCTTATAGTTTCTCCTGTTTGAGATTTACAAAATTGTTATCAAGTTACAAGTCGAGAAGTAGCATTGCACCAAATACACGTAAATTAGGGTGGTCCTTAGTGCCATGTACATTTTCGAATTCATTTATTTTAAGCTCCAACCACCGGAATTCGTTATGATAGTCAAGAAAACTCTCCTGGTGAATTTTCTTCAAATTCCAACAACATGTAGCCCTCCCTCATCAACCTGGGCTGCCACACCAGCAGCCACGGTGCTGCAACTGAGGCTAAACTTCATTTCATTTCATTTGTATTTGTCCCGCTCATGGTACGCAAAACCAAATGTACAATAATTGCCGAAAAAACATGACTCTACCAAAACACCATTGAGC